GACACCGTTGGCTAGGCCTAGGTGCAGACCGGAAGACGATGGTGTTGAAGAACGATCAACCTCAGCCAAGAAACTCAAGCTGTCTGACTTATTTGTCAAGTCATCTACCCCCACAAATCATGAGGTAGGGGATGGTTTTGTCATTGTAAGCATGGCATTCTTACGAGAGATTGTTTCTTTTGGTGTCTGCCCAAATTGCAAAGCCCCCTTAACAATCAAAAACTTGTTAGAGAGAAAGATGGGGTTTTCCTACCTCATGATATTGTCATGTCAGAAATGTGACTGGAAGGAAGAGAAAAGGACATCAGAAACCCTTGTCAATTCAACTCCAGGCCAAAGCTCATTTGAAATCAATCTGAGAATGATAATGGGCTTCAGGGAGTTTGGTCAGGGCCTGGCATCTATGTACACACTTTGCCGTGTTGTTAACATGCCTCCACCAATGTCAAAGCCAGCATATAATAAGGCTGTCAAACTACTACAACCATTTTACACTGAAGTAGCTGTTTCTAGCATGAAAAAGGCTGCTGAAGATACAAAATCTTTCCTCAATCAAAGCAATGAAGAGGGTCCAGTCAATTGTAGTGTTTCAATAGATGGAACTTGGCAGAGACGTGGACATGCATCTCTGAATGGTGTTGTAACAGCAATTGCTAAAGAATCTGGAAAATGTGTTGATTTTCAGGTTAAATCAAAGATTTGCAAAGCATGTGAGAAATGGAAGCAGCTTAAAGGAACAGAAAAGTATGATGCATGGAAAGCAGCCCATAAATGCCCGATAAATCACAAGGGGTCTTCTGGGGCAATGGAATCTGCTGGGGCTGTTGAGATATTCAGGAGATCAATTCCTTTTCTGAATCTTAGGTTTACTGGATATATTGGAGATGGAGACAGCAATTCTTATGCAAGTGTGGTTGCAGATGCCCCTTATGATAGTATTGATATAAGAAAACTGGAATGTGTTGGACATGTTCAAAAGCGAATGGGCACGCGCCTTAGAAATCTCCGAAAGTCTTTCTCAGGTCAGAAGTTATCAGATGGAAAAAGAATTGGTGGCAAAGGGAGACTAACTGATAAAGTCATTAACACAATACAGAATTATTATGGATTGGCAATTAGGCAAAATGTTGGCCAACTTTATGCAATGAAGAAAGCTGTTGGTGCTGTCTTGTACCATATTTCAGAGAATGAAAGTAATGAAGATCGTCATAAGTTTTGTCCTAGGTCTGCAGACAGCTGGTGTAAATTCCAGGCAGACAAAATAACTGAGAAAAACACATACAAAGAAAAGATATCCCTGCCAAAAGCAATAAAAGAAGTTGTAACACCAATCTTTAAAGACCTTAGTAGTAATAATTTATTGGAGAGATGCTTGCATGGACAAACGCAAAATTCAAATGAGTCATTGAATAAGCATATATGGCAGAGATGTTCAAAGACAATGTTTTCAGCAAGACACATTGTTGAGATAGCCACAGCATCTGCAGTTTTATATTACAATGATGGAAGCAGAGGTTTAAATCTTGTTCTTGCTAAGCTTGGGATTGCTGCTGGTACATTCACAAATCAAATGGCAATTGCTACTGATGCTGCTCGATTAAAGAATATGCAGAGAAAGTCTAAAAAAAATGTCAAAAAAAGAAGAAAGAAGTTGAGGGCCATTAGAAAGGGATTCCAGGACACTGATATGGAAAATGAAGGCAATGTTTATGACTCTGGTGCCCACTAGATTAGTAAAACCTCTGATTTAACTATGGTTTTATGTTTAAAGCGGATTTTCTCAAATTGTAAAAAACGCATCTTTTGGTAGCTTTTAACAAGGATTGCAACACAACCATTGTAGGTATATGCTTGTAATTTGGCATTCTTAAAGAGTAAGGCCTTATGAAGGGGCTGAACCACAAACATGTTGCCTATTTGTGCCTTTGCAGTCATGCAAAGAGTTTTAATGTTGCCCAAACTCTGTAAAATTAGTCGCATTTATAATTTTTCAATTTTTTCAACAAAACAATACATCTTGATAATGTTTTTTTGGTTCAGCCCCTGTAACATGTTATTATGCTCAAAACTGTAAAGTTTCATAGCTATGTAGGTTGTGGTTCCTTTTTTATCCTTGTTAGAAGAGTACCCATATTTTCCCCTAATCATGATCATTCAAGTGTAACTAATTAATTGTTTTGCATAATTTTTATGAAAAATCCCCTCTTGAGTAATTAACTTTCAATTTAGATCTAAATGAGATCATTAATCCTTGCAATAAAAATTTTTCACCTAATGGTTATCTGCTACCTTAACACCCAATGATGAAAAACTCTGAGTCTATTATTTTCAAAAATGGTGGTTTCGGTCGTGCGCCTTAGAGTGCTATTTTTGGACCTTTCTATGTAGAAGATAAAAAAATTTGGTGTGATTTGCAGGGGCGTCACTTGAGGGGGGTATGGGGGGGGTGATTCACCTTCCCCCAACCACGAAAGTAGGACCTTTTCGCAGGGCAAATGTTTTCTACCAGCGGATCTGTTTTGTTGCTTTCTTATGTAACTGTAACAAGAAAGTAGGTTATGCTTGTAATTTGTCTACTTCAGAAGTAAAAAGATACAGACTACCAGTGACAAGAAGTAGAAATTTCCAGCGTGATCTTGGGCTAAAATAAAATTTACCATTACACTCTTCTTTATAAGAGTCAGTAAATTGAAGTTCAGGCTGGTTGTTCTTAATTTTTTCGAAAATCTGAGGCTGAATTGTTCTTAATTTGTTCTTAAATCTATAGAGTATAAGCAGTGCGATTGCTAGCTTTTCGCTCTAGGGAGGTGTCCAGGCCTCATTTGCCAACAAAGTGGGTGAGAAAACCTTCATTTGCCGCCATCCTTAAATATTCACCGAAGAAGCATCTCAAGATGGCAAAAAACTCCTCATTTTTGAGATGAAACATTATCGAAAGTTACATTTTACAGTAGCAGGGACTCGAATAAAAGGGTTAAGTTTTCGATTATTCGTGCCCTTGGAATAGGATTAAGTATCGTTTGATTTCCATGGATTTGGCACCTCTTTTGGCGAAAAGACAATCATACATTCAACACTTATTTTTTGTGATAAAATTAAAAATACAGAAAAAAGTAGTTGGCCTTGAGGATATCGTCAATATGGGCATCTAATCTGCTCAAATTTTCAAAAAGGGCACCAAAAAAGCTGGGGGGGGGGAGCATGTTGTGCCCTAAATCGGTCACATTATCGATAATCGAGAGCAATGACCTAGTACAAGGGGCAGAAGTGGGAACAAAAACAAGAACAATTACATAAGAGCACAGAAGAAGAGCGTAGAAACTCTCGATCCAAGCACACAATTCAAGTGAATGAATGGGGACAACTGTAACGTGCCACAGAAACCGCAGCTCTTGACGCAAAGGTATCGAGTATTTATTTGAAAGAGGACCCTGGTTAAAAATGAGGACTGACACTGAGTGTTGGTGGACATGTCCAAACCTGCTTTCTATCCGCTTTGATAATGGCCCCAGTGGATTGAAGAGACTGGTGGGAAGCGGATTAGGTGAAACTCACCTAATAAATCGTGGAAATGAAAATTCTGATGCCTTGGTAATAATCCACAAAAACAAAGTAATCGGGCAATATTAAAATAAGCTCTCATAAAGGTACAAAGAAGCAAGCGACAATTGTGATCTGAACGTAAATAACATATAATTGAGAAATTGTTAATAAGGTAAACAGGGCTGGCGGCAAGTTGGAGAGCGCCGACTTTTGAGGGATAACTGTAGCTACGCAGTGTTTGCAATAGTGACAGTATTGCCCAGTATTGTATTTCTAATAAAATCTAGAAAGATAATTAAGAAAAAGTCCTGAAAATCCGAATAACACGCCCCGAGAATGCCTGCAAAGGCAAGTCAACTATGATCAATACAATACAATGGCCCCCAAAACGTTTTAGTCCCCCCCCCCAATCTGTGATATGTGTCGCGCTCTTTGGAACAGAGTGCCATGTATTCGTAACACCTTGTCCTTGAGTGCCTTAAAAACGTGTGGAATAAATAAAAATAATATATAGTTATCATGACTGTATGGTTACGATTCAGACGATCACTGATTGATACTGCAAGTAAAATTGGAGAGTAAAATCGGTTCTTAAGGAGTTGAACGAGAGAGAAAATGCAATGGAGATCAAGCCTTTCTTGGCTTACAACTCGATGTTGGTTGAAAAGCTGAAAATCATCACTAAAACATTAGAGAACTTGCAAATTATAATGGGAAAAATTGCTGTACAGTTTTTGTAGACACTTTCCATCAAATATATTTCTTTTGAACAGCCATTTTGAGACAATATTGAAAACTACAAAAATGTTTTCTTTTTTTAAATTTCCGTCCTTCGATTCCCTCCCCCGTCTTTCGATTCCCTCCCCCGTCTTAGCAGCATTGCCGTCAACTTTACGAGAGTGTTGAGCAGTTAGATAAGGGAATACCCCCTTTGACAGTTTGGAATCCCCCTGTAATACGGCCTTGAAAAAGTGGTGTTGCCCAATCTGACAGAGAGTTTAATGTCAAATTAACAGATAAAATCAACAAATAAATCCACCGTATGGCCCTTACAAAGAAACTTCGCTTTTGAAGAAAATTTCTATAAAGAGAATGATTTTCCATTGATAATTAATGCGAGTAGGACCAACATTTGACGAAAAGCCCATGAAATTTTGGCTTTAGAAGCCAAAAAGCTAACTAAATGAATTCTACATGAAGACAAGGTAAAATCACAAATATGAAAAAATGGAATTTAATGTAACGTTGATGTAGTGAAAAATAATGTCAAGTTACCGGCCATAAGGAGAAGTTTGTGCCTGGATCCAGTGGCAAAGGAAGGATAGAGGAAGAAGTGGGGGAGGGATTTTAACTGGTTGACAGCTAATGATAACAAGCAGATATACCAGCAATGCAAACGGAAAATAAAACAATTACGAATATAAAAGGTAATCATAACTGGCTAAATAAGGCCATACCTTTGCACCCTCCGTTAAAACAACGAAGACTTTCTTTTTGCACCTTCCTTTTGTTGGCATTTCTTCGAGTTTCAGTTTCAATAGCACCAAATGCAGTAATTTCAACACCTAAGCTCGCCTGCAGAACGGCATTCGAAGAACAGAAAGCGAGAACAAGGTGAAACAGAGGTTAGGTAACCTGACCTTCCATCGACATGACAAACAAAGATCAGAAAGATAAGGGGGTGACACAATACAGGTGACCTTTTTTAGCAATCAATGACGGAGCAGATGACAGCAATGCACTGACGAAAGCAATTGTTGATACAAATCTTGAGCAAACAGTTGGAGCTGCACTAAATAGAGGTTCGAGTTGGCAATTATAGGCATCTGAATCGAAAGTGCAAAAGTCAGATGGAGTAGGAATGACACATTGTATACCAAATTTAACTGAATTCAGTAAAAAGAATGTGAAGATTAAGGGCGGGCAAGCCGCCCAAAGAGAGAAGGGGGTTTGGGACAACGCTCTTGCTAGGAAACGCCTCTTTTGACCTAGGACACACTCTGTTAATTATTGCATGGTACAAACCCTTATAGATCGGTGTGATTTGCATATCGTCCAAAAACTACTTAAGATCTAATGTAACAAATGGCAATAGTATTTTGGCTTGGCTTGTTCTTTAATGAAACTCATGATGATAATTTCTACTTTAGAAGCAATCTTAAGTAGTGCGACACAGTGCCGTCGGAATGAAATTCATATTGGGGGTGGCTGCCTATTGTTTTCCTTCTCGTTCAGCACACTGTTATAAAGGAAACATACTACAGTCTGACAATTATTGGGGGGGCTCAAGGATAGGGCAGATCATTGAACGAGACATACAGTAGAAACCCGCATAAGAGTTAAAAATACCACTCCAAAAACCCTTTTTTCTTATATATTTATAGATATAAATAAGAACCTTTCCAAATTTCAGCTTCTTGGGAGTTCTTAATTATGGGGTCAAAAAGAATAAATTTCAGCCGCTAGGTTCTTATAAAACAGCATAGGGCTCAAATCTTGATTGGCTGAGAGCTTGCGCTAAATCACGTGACCTCTCTCGCCGCTGAGCCAATCACAGCCCCGGAAAGTGTAAACAAACTTAGGCCAAAGCCGAAAATTGGGCATTTTTACCACCGTCCATTAAAAAAATAACGTGTAAAATCTGCTACAATAAATTTCAATTTTTTTTAACTACATTCCTACACAGATAAATTTCCCACAAATCTACCGTGGAACATGACCTCGATTTTGCGTTGTTAAGAAAATACAGCGTTGTAAACCTAGCCATAGGATACCTTCACATCCAAGGGGTTTAAAATCAACACAATTTCAAGTCAATTATTGCTGTTACCCCATAAAACCAAAATTTTGCATATTTCAGTTGCTTTAAATCTGAATATCACATTAGACTCAGCTTAGTTTTAAAAAACTCTGACGAACAACGCATGCAGTCTTTACTAGAGCTTTGATCAACGCAAAAATGAGAGAATTTCCCTTTTCAAGACAAAAACTCTCAATAGCTTTCAACTGATCATGTAAAAATGCTCCACCTAGCCGGAGAAGCTTTTAAACTGATACATAATGACTTAATTTGCGACTGTACCATGTCCTGAGCATCTCTGCTGAAGCA